ATGTTCAATGTCTTTATAGACGATGTGGTAATACTGCTTCTTGTCTCTTTTAACAGCTCTCTCAAACTCTGTTAAGTTTCTTTTGAGATCTTTCTTACCTTTGGCTTCTCTTTTCTTCTTGGCAATTTCCATTGTTTGTTCTAACATCCAGTTGCTTTCTTCTGTTTCTTTATCTTTGTCAGTCTCTTTTCACATTCATCCTTAACTTCTTCTTTAACTTCATTCCACAATTCCTCTGGTTCTCTATTGAGAACCTTCAAAGCAATTCCTGATGTTCTCCTTGAAAATGGTAGATATATGCTCAATATCATATCATGGAAACTGATTGACTTTTTTCTTCTTTTCTTTCTTCTTTTTTCTTCTTTAGCTTAACATGGAACTTTCACATGAGTAGTTCATGATCTATTCTACAATCAGCACCTGGCCATGTCTTTGATGGTATAATTGAGCTCCTCTACCTCCTTTTAGCAATAATACAGTCAATTTTTATTTCCATCTGGTGATGTCCATGTATAGAAGTATCGTTTTATTTGTTTGAAGACAATGTTAACTATGAAGAAATCATTGGAGTGGTAGAAACTGATAAGTTGGTCTCCGGGTTCATTTCAGTTTCCAAGGCCATTTTCCTCTTTCATGTTTCCAATTTTGGCATTTCAATCTCCAGTCACAAGCAGCACATCTTGCTTACATGTTCTGTCAATTTCAAATTGAACTTGATCATAAAACTCATCAACCTCCTCTTCTGCATCAGCAGTGGAATCATAAACTTGGATGATTGTCATATTAAAGGGTCCATGAACTCTAATTGTTATTATTTGGTCATTGATTGCATTGTAGCCAGGTATGTTCTTGCTATACCCTTCCTAACTATTAAAGCAATGCTTTTCTTTCTTTGTTTTTCATGTCCTGAATAGTAAACAGTATGATCTTCTGACTGAAAGTGTCCAATCCCAGTCCATCTCAAATCGCTGATGCCTAAGATGTCAATCAATAGTTGTTCTATTTCATCTTACACTATGTTCAGCTTTCCCATGTTCATGCTTCTTACGTTCTATGTTCCTACTGTAATTTTGCAACCTCAGATTTTCTTTCTCTGTATGCCAACATCAGCAACTAGACATCCTGAAGGCTTTAATCTTGTCACATCAAAAACACCATTAGT